TGGAACTGAGTGACTAAAGCTTAATTTTTGGTTCTTTTTTATTTACATGGCATCAGAAGGCGATCGATAAACGACCGATACATACTGCGGCCTTTTAAGTATGTAACATTCAATTAATACTTGTGTTGCTGGTATTAATATAAGTATAATTATAAATATGGTTGCTGTAGTAAGTTTGTTGTAGACAGACTGATGAGAGAGACTATAATATCTAAGGATATCCATGACAGATAGGAAGAGGTTCGAACGTGAGACATCCAAAGAACAAACCAGAACCTTATACCTTTTGCTACCTTGCTCGACGTTTGGTTCTTATCCTTTTAATTAACTTTCTTCTCAGTGAAATATTAGATACTAAATATTGGGGTTTACTGGCTGATGTCGTTCCTGCAACCTTATTCAGGTGATTCCAAAATGTCCCATTCAGTTTGACAACTTAAATTGATACTGCAGTATCGATGGTTCTGTTTTGGAATGTCGAACTTGCAAGTAACAGGGAAGGAAGAATCGATAAAAATTATTTTGTACTAGAGTCAAGTTGAACTTTTTTAATTAAAACGTCTTTGCCTAAACTGTTTTCTACCTCACTCCCTCCCATCTTTTAATTTTGAACTCTTAAGATAAGCTCCTGAACTCGGATCATCCAGAATTTCTCTGCTATCAAACAACTTGTTGGTTAAAGACGATATTAAAGTTTAAACTTCTAAATGAACACTTTAGTTTGAAAATTGGTCTGATCTCCTTGTAACTAATTAACTTGCACTGCCTACGTGTTAAATTCCCAGTACCCTTGTCGATGGATCCTTAAACTAACTCTTCTATCTTCGCATGTATTTTATAAATAATTATATTTCACGAACCTTGAATCAGAGTTAGAGCTATGTGTTAATAATGTATCGCGTTTGTATGTACTAATATAATTGCTTGTATATGTTCGTTTATTTGACGTTGCTTTCTTAAGTGCGAATTTGCGAATTTGCATTCTCGCACTTCAGAAGTTTTGACAAAAGAAATTCTCATTACGTAATTATCAAATGTATTGTAGTGACTGTCTTGGTATTCGAAAATAATGCATTTATAGAACATGCGTAAGATTCTTTATTGGTACATAATTTTCGCATTATATTTATTTAGAGAAACGAAAGACATGTCAAAAACTAACATTCCAATCCAGGAAATTGTCCTTAAATATCCAGCTCTGTAGGTTCGGGAGGTTTCTAGTTATGTTGCAACACGTGTTGCTGCAAGTCGTAGGCTGTGATTTTGGTATTGACTGTATTTTCTTCTGTGCCTCTCCATCGCTGTCTGCTTGTAGTGGTTTCTACCTCCCACGCTACAGAAAATCCCTAACGTTATTTTAAGTCTTAATTGGTGATTAATTTAAGTGTAATGGGCGAGTCTGTGATCCCCTGAGAAACAACTCCTCCTCATCTCAGCAACATATTTTATCATTCCACGTTCCGTAATTCATCGCCCACAAGTTTGGAAGATCTGAGATTTGGTAAGAAGTTCAACACGCTGGAAGTTTTAATTAATAACCAGAAAGAACTGTAATGGTGTCATATGTTCACCAGATCACGACATGCTTAAGCGTAGTGCGCAGACGGATAGATGTACTTCATTTTCCCAACTGTTACTTAACAAAGAATGTGCCTGTTACCTTCGTTACATCTGTATGTCCGTCTGTTCCCATTAGCTCTTTGATGCTGAAGCTTGCATGAGTTGCAGCTAATATTTTAGCCCGTACCACAAAGAAAACGCAAGACTTCGTCAGTACTAAGCATTGTACAAAATGAATGTTAAGCAGGTGGGACCCCTGGGCTTCAGGGGGTTAATATCTCGAGAACAGGTGAATCGATTTACATGGAATTTGGTATTGGAGAATTTTAGTAACATGTGCCCGCAAGTGAATGACTGGGGCAGTCGCAGCTAGGGAATTCCCAGGCAATTTACGAAAGTCAGAGATAACATTCTGGTGAACGTATCAGGATTTCTACGTTGTGGATAAAATTCACAACTTTTTATTTTCTGTAATACAAAGCTGTAAAACAGCAACTTAGCTCATTTTTGGTGTTGGTGTGAAACTTGTCTATCAAGAAAAGTTTAGGTGTATCAACTGAACGTTTTAAATATTGATAAGGCATTCTGTAGATCACTTACGGAGATACTGCGGAGAGACAACCACATTACTGTTCTCACTTACATCCACTTACAACTTGCATTCTTCCCTCAGGGTATTTCACACATACTATACATTCTTACTAGAAACTGAATCCACTGGTTTGCTGTCTTCCTTATGCGTGTTTGGGATGTGATACGATCTGATTTCATCCTGAAGTTAGCTAGACAAGTTTTACTGAGTAGTAGTGTTAAATTGCAGTCCTAATTTGCACATCTAAGTTGCACGGGATGTACAAGATAATCGAATCAGCTTGCAGCGTTAACATCAATTTGACGCTTCTTACGTGCAAGATGGCACTCGTACAATTTAATCACGAACAAGATTTTATTTTGAGCGTCTCTTAAAAACATTTAATTTTAAAGATTTTTTTGACCTTGATTATTAGAATTATTAATAACAACGACAGAGAACTTGACTGAGATTTTCATTTGACTCCCAAAGAGCAGGCATGACTAAAAGAAGGAAATATATCAAGTATCACATTACTAATATTTGGTGGGGGGATAGTAGTTTTTCTCAGTCTACTCAAAGAAATACCGGAAGAATTATATGATAAAGTTATAATGGCGTATTTCCATGTTCATGCAATTCTAACATTTAACAAGTAATAGAAAGATTCAAAGTGCGGAGAATTTTAGGCTTCAAAAGGGTTAAGACTGCAGTGCCAGTTGCCGTAATTACAGTGTCTATAACACGTCATAGTACGAATTTACTGTAAATGTAACATGAATGGGGAAATTATAACGGCAATGTAGGGGCAAAAACATTAACTTCAGAGACGGGTACAGATGAATCACGTTATCATTAACAGCGTCAATGATTAGGTGCGACTATTGTGTGTGACATTGTCAGTTGTGTAAAATGTAATTGATAGAGGCCTACTCGAGGTTTTGAGACTTGACTGTACTCCCGCCATTAGATTATTGTTTTTTTATTATCCTGACAGATTTCTGTTGTTTTTATTTTGATATTAGTGGCGGCGGCTCGGGTCAAATCCGGGACCTTTTGAATAATAGGTTAACACGCTAAGCATTATATCTGTTTCAAATCTAAAACTTCTTGACGATGGTGAAGAGTCAATTGAATAAAAATTTCCTTGGATATTATCCATCGTCTAGTAAATATAAAACGTAAAACGACGTTTCGGAGATGGGACTCTATCTCCGAAACGTCGTTTTACGTTTTATATTTACTAGACGATGGATAATATCCAAGGAAATTTTTATTTAATTATATCTGTTATTCAAATGGTCCCTATTCGATACTAACCTTTGCCACTAATACAGGCTAATAATAGTAGTAACAGAACTATTAGTATTTTGACAACCAATTACCTGAAGAGAAGAGTACATTCTGTTATCTATTTAAGAACTTTTCCCCCTTGAGTTGCATTGAAGGTAAAGGAGGTCTGTCAAGTTACGTCCCTTGGTTTCTTGAGCAAGATTCTACTGTGTTTCTAAGTTTCGAAGCATCTAACAGAAGCTACTCCGAGCGAAAGCCCCATCTGTAACTCCCATCAGTTCACAAAGTTGTCCCACTTTTTCTCTGTTTTTCCTGATGAAGAACAAGTAGTTGACGGCCCGTGAAATTTGAAATGACCGAAAGCGTTCAACTGTTTGTACCTCGTCACGGTAATCCGCTTATGTGACTTGATTCTCGGGGTTATGATTAGATTTTTGTTATCGAATATTTTATTATTTTTATTTCTATCAAGTCACAGTCTTTGTGTCTGTCTATTAATTTATACGTTTCCTTAAAAGAGCTTACAGTCCTTAGTTGATTTGAACCAATTTCGGTAAAGAGGTTGTCTTTGAAATACTTAAATCGAATGTTGCTTTATTTTTTATTGTTTGAATGAATGAAAGGACAATAAATTTATAATTTAAAATACACTAAATGATAAACCTCTAGCTTCTGTTTTTACAAATATGAATTTATGTCTCTCTGCGGGTCTGTTAGCTTCTTCATACTTTTACATTTATGTTTGTCGTATAACATACTTTTCTGTTGGAAGTAAAATACGAGATTTATAAAATTGTAGGAAGCTTGTTCTTGCTTAGCCTTTTAAAAACAATATGCACTTTCTATAACAATCACTAACGCTACATTTTGTATTTATGTTCTCAGTGTAAACAGCGATTACTTCCCTAAAGAGCATTGACCAGTTGATCTTTCTAATGGTGTTGTTGTGTTTTCTTCGCGGTGCGAACTGAATTCTTAAATGTCATTTAGACGAAACACGGATTCAAAGGGTTAATAAATATATTCTTGGGATATTTAACTAGAAGTGACTAGTGACCACTTACACTTTCTTTTCTGTCGTTAAGAGAAGTTACTGAAACCATCGCTCTTCCTGCTACTAAAGGAACGTTGGCACCTGTAACATATTTTTCAAATCAAATTAAATACTTGTACGATGTAGAACTGCAAATAGGTGTCTACATGAATCACCCGCAATCGTGTCCATTACATTATGTAATTAACACGGATGTTTTACTCAGTGTAAACGGCTGAATATATAAATCAAATAAAGCTGTACATCCCTGAAGACTATTTTATGTGTGTGACTACTACATTTCTAAAACTATTAGTCTGAAAGTCTATGCCAGTATTTTTAATTTAATCTCCATTTAAATAAATAATTCATCGCTTTTAAGCGACATTATGTAAGCACTATATCCACTGATTTTACGGAAAATTGCATAATTTCGAATTCCATATTTCCAATGTATATTCCATGTTTCGCATATTTTATTTTACGTTACTACATTATTTATAGTTTCATATAAATGTAGTCATTCTCGTGTTTTCTTTACAGATGAAGTATCTTGTCAGACTCAGCGGTGGTGAAATAACCAGGAACAATATTTTGTAAGTACATTATAACCCAGTATCACGTTCTCACATAACACACTTTAACAACGCCCTGTGTATTCTGCAGTCGCGTTGGAAGGAAAGTTAAACGAAACGCAATAGACTCTTGTTCTCTGAAACGTACTATTTCGTATCACGTTTCAGTAAACCGAGTGAAAAGAAACGAGGATAGTTATTGAAGGTAGTTACGAAGCATCTGTATTAGCGTATGTAAAAAATTCACTTTGTTCGTGTTTGCTTACGCTCACGAATGAGATATTTAAATGAACTCCAAGCTCTGGGAAAACGACGTAGTAACGCTTGTATTTTTCGTCGTTTTCTCCTCTAACGACAATATTTTTCTCCTATAAACCGTCTTATGTTTAGATTACAGTGTACTGGTTGCTAAGAGGAATACGGTAGCAAAGGAGGACAGGAAGGACCAAGGAAAATGAGTTGTGAAAGGTTGTTAGACATAAATGTTTAACTAGACTAATTCAGAAAGACAGGACACTCATGCAAAACGAGCAATTATGGCGTGAATGGAGACAATCGAAATGAATAGCCGATTCTGTACTACTTAGCAGCTGGATGCATTGTATTTTGTTCTCCTTCGTCTTGAAATTTCTTTCGATGTTGTTTCTAAATTCGAAACCCTTTCGCATTTCACTCTGAAATTCACGTTTGATTCTACGAATTTTGCTAATGGTTTGTTTGTTTATTCTATTGTACTTCAAGTCTCAACAAAAGATTCGATGAAGCTCTTTTACCTTACCTTTATAATCCAATTAATTATCGTTCTATCAGTGATTTGTCTTATTTCACAATTTTTATGAGATGTTTAACGTTCCCATTACATGCTCTGGTGCGACTGTTTTTTTAAAATATTTTCTCGAACTTTTAACATTCGGAATAATTCCTCAATTGAATTTAAATACCTATACCTGCATGTTTTCTTTGTTCTGAAATCCCTGAAGTTCCTTTGATCCTGTCACTGAATACAGGTACACTCTTCTGCGTTAAAGTCGACAGCGGGCGAGATAATTCCTTGTTGCATGCAACTGAACTGAGCTGAATTATGAACTATGGGTCTGGAGATTCCTGTGGGCTGCTAGAGCTCGTGAGTTCCTCTCCCAAGTAATAACCCACATTCTACAAACGGGCGAGGTCGAGGGTGAAAGCAACGCAGATTCCGAAGAATTAAATCTTAGTGGAACTAAACCCATACTCAACAGAACAAAGGCTGCAGACAAGGCTCAAGTCTGTTTATTGCAAATGTCAGTATTACCCGTGTAGTCGCTAATGTTACACAATTCATAAACAATGAGATTCGCAGATTGAGGCAGTAAGTTCCTATGAACATCGGTGTGTTTCTACATGGCGCAATATACCAAAAGATAACCATCTTCTTAACATGATGTTTTTGAAAGATAAAGCTATGACATATTTTACAGAATAAAGTATTTTCAGAACACACTCCTCCCTTCATATAACATGAATATGAATGAAAATGTTGCCGTCAGTTCTTGTAAGTGATTGATCTCCAGTACCCAGTCCATTGGCCAGCTTTTCTGGCAGCCCATCAGTCACTCAATTGTCGTTAACCCGCCCCCCCCTCTCCTCCCTAGAACTATCTGTATATATATATGCCGTAGAATTTTTCACATCCGTGACATTCATCGCGAAGATGGGAACTACATTGTTTGCTGAAACGTAGGATGGACTTAACAAACGAAGCAGTTCAAACATAAGGCATTCGCGGCAAAAAGTTGGGAACAGTAATATGACAGGAAAGAGTTTAAAAACGGCTGATGTTACAACAGGAATATGTTTTAACTAACAAGACGAAGAAAGTCCTTTTCTAGAAAACCACTAGTTTCTAAGCGAGTCAGAATATTCGCCTCCTTTTATTGCCTTCGTGAGATCATTGCCGTGTTTAAAGCAGCCCGCCACTGC